CAAGAACCACTTAAACACCATTTCATATAGGTAGTTAATTCCTTTCTTTTTTTTTTCTAATTAATTATCGTTATATGTATATGAAAATAAAAATGTTCGGGCTGAAGCCTCTCAAAATTAATTCCTGAATCCGCTAGTGCCTGGCAACCTGATGGAAGATAATATGATAAAATAGTTACGAGTTCGCGTCCCGGTGCCAGGGGGACTTTTAACACTCAGGCATTAGTTCCTGCCCCGGAAAAACTCCTATAGCATAAAATACGAGCATATAAAAAATTTACATTAGTTACATGTTATTCATGATCTGTTACATAATATAAGACCAATGTCCCGTTTCAGACAAAAGAGAGGGGTATGGCTGAGGACAGCCACAAATCGGAGGAAGGTGTCACCCAGTTCTGCAGCTCTCATCGGCCGGAAGTCCCCGCAAGAAAGATGCAGCTCACAGCTGCTCAGAACGAAAGTGAGTAAACTTAAAAAGACATGTTCATTTTTCTTCTGATTCGTCCGACTTGAAACAATTCTTCTTGTTCTTTTGCAGAAGTGCAGACCCCGACCGACGAAGGCCAGGAGATCCCCAACGGCGGGACTGACTCCCCCAGGACCGAGGAACCTCCCCCCGCTCAGAAGAGGCCGACGTCTTTGGCTGCCAGGAAGAGGGACTCCGAGGAGGAGGTGAAGATCATTAGGCCGCCTTCTCCAATCGCTGGACCCAGCAACAAGACCGACTTCGGTATTATCAATACTATCATGAAATATTATCTGTTAGGATTTTATTTTATATATATATATATATATATATATATATATATATATATATATATATATATACAGGTTGTCCCGTATGTACAGGGAAATATTTGTGATAGCAAACCTCAAGATTAAATAAAAAAAGTTTATACAAAGATAGGTATGATTTTAGGAAGAAATGTAGGAAATCTAAGTTTATTTTTGTGTATTTTAGTAAAATTTTGCCATTTTACTTTCCTACCTATACTAGGTAAGGAAAGTATTGCAATCGAGTCAAATTTCCGACATGCGGTTTTCGACGGATCTATACGTTTCAGAGCCCCCTGAATCCGAAAAACACATTTTTAGCCATTGGTCTGTCTGTGCCAAGATTTTCTCGGGAAATACTGAAAGAGAACCGATTTTGTTGCTTCTTTTTTTATTTTGTAGAGTTTTGACTACTGATGGCTGTGACAGATATTCGGTGCTCCATGCGCAATAGCTTGCGCGCAATAATTGAAAAACATGTTTTTCTATAGATTGCAGAGCAAAAACGGCTCTAACGATTTTTATGAAACTTTCCTATAATGTCCTAATCATTGTTCTTTCAATTTTCGTATATAGACTAAATTCCCAAAAAAAATCAGGAAAAAAAGTTATAAAGAAAAGAAAAATGTTTTAGGGTCTAACTCCCTAAGTATATATTTATACGGTAAAATTTATAATAAAACTTTTGAAAGGTAATTAGATTAGATAGGTTTACATTGCTTTAGTTTATCAAATAAATCGTATTAGCGATGATACAGCTTATTCTATTTTTTACGCATTTTTTTAACTTATTACTTTCCTAGCTATACTAGGTAAGGAAAGTATTGCAATCGGGTCAAATTTCCGACATGCGGTTTACGGATCTATGCGTTTCTGAGCCTCCTGAATCCGAAAAACACATTTTTAGCCATTGGTCTGTCTGTCTGTGCCAAGATTTTCTCGGGAACTACTGAACCGATTTTGTTGCTTCTTATTTTATTTTGGAGAGTTTTGACTACTGATGGCTGTGGCAGATATAAGCCGAAAAACACGGCGTTTAGCCTAAATTTTTACACTGATCTATCTTAAGCCGGTTTACATTGCTTTAGTTTATGAAATAAATCGTACTCAAATCTTATGTTTGATCAATTTTCAGGAAAAATTTATCTAGTTCAATTATTTTTTGTTTCTTCATGAACATATGTAAAGATATAAAAACTTTTTGAAATAGGTAGGAAAGTCGTGTGAGTGGACGCACCAGATTTTTTTTTTGTTTTTGGAATAGGAAGCGATAACTAAAAAAATATTTACTTATTAAAAATTCACTGTAAACTAGACTAAATTTACTTCAAAAACGGAAATAGATATTCCGTGGACCATCGATAAATTAGGTTGAAATTCACAAAAACGTTATTAAAATTTCAGCTCCACCGAAAATGTACAAGGCTTTTTGCAATAAGACCAAGACTTTTTGCAACAAGACCAAGACTCGTCTCGGTCTTGCATTTGGGCAATACTACTGATGAGTTATAAATAATTCTGATAATACCGCTTATAAGGTGTCCAGGTTATAATCATTCTCTTTTGTATCAGAACCCGGTTTGGGTGTTACCTTTAATGTTCTAATTGATGGTAGTATTTAACACTTATCTCGAGGTTTCAGCCTTAACCATTTTATTCTAAATCCAGCGGATACTTTACCGAAAGTGTACTTCTTACGAAAAAGTTTCCACTCTTTGTCTATTTTGACTAGTTACTGTGCAATTTTTAATTACTTAAATTTAATATTTTTTTTATATATCGCATCATATTATAGAAACAAACTTGAATATTGAATTTCCTACATTTCTGCGTAACATTAGATCATTGTTTAAATAATAATTTTTGTAGTTCTTGGAGTCTGCTATTATACCTTTAAATATTTTGCTGTAATTACGGACATCCTTAACCCTCTTCTATAAACGTTCGGGTTGAATCTGGTCACTGGGCTCTCTATAGTCAATCAAAAAACATACTGATGGTTTCATACTCTCCAAGAGAAATAATTATGTCAATTTGATCTCTTCAATTTACTTTACGAGAGATGGAAATAAACTATCTGGAAAACCGGAAATAACGAATTTTATAATATGACCAAAGAAGGAGTAGATGTGTTAGACAAGCTTAGTCACGATAAATCACAAAAATAGCCTACGAGATTCGGTATTTTCGACATTGATGCAGTAAATGTTTTCATAATATTAACAACTTCTTTTATATATTTCTTATTTCATATAAATTAATTCTTTCTTTGATTACGTATTCTTTTCACGAATAGAATTGTTATTGATTTGTATATCTATTTATTTATTTATAACCACTTTATTAATTATATGTAAACATTAACATTCATATTAAATGTTGTTCAAAGTGATTTTCTTGAGCATTAAGACAGGCCCGCCATCTTTCTTCAACAGAGCCAGTGGCAGAACGGCACTGGTTATGTTTTATTGTTTCACAAGATTCAAAGCGTTTGCAAACATACCTTCACTTTGAACAAAATTTAATATGAATGTTTACATTTAATTAATAAAGTAGTTGGAACAAATAAACAGGTTTTATTTATTTGATATAACGTAAATAATTCATAACAACTGAAATCTTTAGGTGTGAATATCTCCTAAACAAAGCGTTTGCGGACAAACATTCAGAGGAAATTTTTTTCTTGTTTTGAGATCTTTAGTTCATTTTTGCAGTTTGACCACTTAACTTATAATATATATATATATTGTAAAATGATTTTTCAAGTTCAAAAAAAGAAACAACATTATTATTGTGTTTTTTTTCCTGGCCCTATAATTCCAATTATGGTGTATGGAGTTAGATACGACCCAACGTTTATATTTGTGTGGCCAGCATCAACGTTTATAGAGGAGGGTTGTTTGTCCTAGAAAACCTCGATAAGAAAGGAAACTCATGAAAAAGTTTCGGCAGGCACCCTGACCTTATTGCTAATATTTTTTTTCCCAACATAATCATATTTAATAATCATGTAAATGTGCGCAGTGCAAGAGCTGGAGAATTTGAGCGGAAATGCCGGCACGCGGCTGCGACTAGAGAACGAACGGCTCAAGCGGGAAGTCTCCGAACTCCGGAAGTTGGTGTCTGCTTCCGGTGCTATCGGTACCTCTGCGGAGATACCCGGACCATCGAGGATTACCCAGCTGGAGGAAGAACTTGTCCAGGCCAAGGAGACGATTGCAAGTAAGTAACTCATCAAAGATTAAGTAACAATATATTTCCGAAGGAATCAAATGAAATTTTCTTACTAAATGTTTTTTTTTTTTTTTTAATGAAATTTACAGCTGTATTACATAGAAAATACAATAAGTAAATGTGACATTGGTAACATGAAATTGTACAACATGAAGAGAAACTACCCATTGGTAGAACTCAAATTAAAGTTCTATATTAGAAGATCAAGAGGCCATCTTCTTTTCAGACCCTTCGGAGGGTTGTCAGAGATCGAGGAGGAAGCAATGTTTGAAACAAGAGGATTCGGATGGTTCTGCAGTTTATTATGGAAGAATTGGTATCTGGGTTTGGGCCAAATCGAAACATATAGAACATTAAGGTCATTATGGATGATTTTATTTGTGACAAAGTAAGGATCGTTGAGGATTTTACGAAGGATTTTGGATTGTAAGGATTGGATACGAGAGGAATTCGATGGCTTAGTGGAGCCCCAAAGCTCAATTCCGTAAGTCCAAATAGGTCTTATTATTGTCATTTATATGAGTCGTTTTAATTGATTGAAAGCTTAGAGCGTTTGTCTAGTAAGTGCTGCAGTAGTCGAAAACGTCGGGCGGTTTCTAGTCGTTTCAGTCTGGTATGGGGGTTCCAAGTGAATCGTTTGTCAAGGTGGAGTCCTAAGTATCGGATTTGTTCGACAGGGATAAGAGGGCTATTTTTGAAGGATATTGTTGGACAGGAAGTCATAGGTTTACGACGAAGAGTGAAAGTAATTTGATGGGATTTATTGGAATTTATTTTAATCCTCCAGTTTTGAAACCATTTTTCAAGACTTGTGATGTGTGATTGAAGAGTTTGTGATGCAATAGATGGATCGTTATTAACTGATAGGATACACATGTCATCGGCATAGGTGGTGATGACAATGTTGGCTTACTAAATGTAAACTTTTGATTCCTACTTTCACTAACCAATATTCCACTGTTAATGGAAACTCATTTAAAAAAAAAAAATTGTAAATAACAACTGTAATTGAAGCAACTGATTACTTTTAATGATTTGTTGTTTGAATCGCTAACAGCTCTTGCCGGGCTGAAATCAGGGTTTAGGAGGGCCGCAGAAGCACTTGGTCAGCTTGAGGATCCTTTCCGCCTCCATGAGGCCGCTGAGCCTGGCCGAGCACAGCCCCATCATGTTCGGGACACAGCCGTCTCCCGCGAACAGGACCGACGGGGGCCTTCCAGGATCTCCCAGCGGCCTCGCCATCTTCATGAGATCCTTCTCGCTGGAACCTATCGTCAAGAAGGTGGTGGCTCCCCTGATGAAGGGATTGCTCTTCCATTTGGTACAATAGACCTTGCAAGGCATTGGAATCGTCCAGTTTTCCAGGAATCGCCTCAACAAACAGGTCACCCCCTGGGCCAGCTCACAGTCTGACAGACACTCCACTTGAACGGCTTCCGGTCCAGAGACCATTACGGTCAATATGTCATTCGCCGTGGGGCACTCCTCGATGGTGCTGATGCAGTTCGTCCAGTGACGGCGACTTCCCATTTCCTCCTTGGTCCAGCCCAACCTTATGGAGCCTTCTCCTTTGATCCAAAATGGATTCTTGTACTTGAGTACTATTTTAGACAAATTCCCTACTTTTAAAGTCCTGATAGCATTTAGCTTTTCTTGGGGTAAAGGTGGATCGAACATGCTTTCACAAGTCTCTTTGAGCACGCCGAGCGGTATCGCTACAATAACATAGTCCGCTTCTTCGTAAAGATTGCCTTTGGTAGCAACTATCGCACGTGGTCCATCGGGACTTTTCTGAGTCCACATAATCTTATCGACTACTTTACCGTATTTGATCCGATCAGGTGATACGACTTTTAATAATGGGTTCAGTATCCTTGACATTCCTGGCTGCACAGCGACTACACCTCCAGGGAAGGCCTTGTACATCCCGTACCTGTTGAGGGGAACGGAGCGCAGAGGTGTTCCTAACGTCTGTCGCACATCGTTTGACAGACTCAAGAGCAACATTTCAGCATCTTTCTGGTCTGGAACAGGGAAAAGCGGAATGACCTCTTGAATTTTCTCGTGAAAATAGCTCAAAAGGTCTTTATCTGGAGGTCCGATCTCGTACTTGCTTCTAGCGGCTGATGTTATCTTGTCGAAGAGGTCGGCAGCTGCGAAGAACACTTTGTGCTTGATGGATTTGCCAGTGGAGGCGAAGCAAGATGTCCCCACGTGCTCCGGTAGCCGTTCGACCGGGAAGGGTATGGCCTCGTCTATGCAGGCCAAGTTGAAGGCCGGGTTGGCCGAACAAGCTCCCCTGATCCCGCAGGCCCCGAGATCCACCGAAGAGTCCCCGAACATCTTAGTCCGGATTCTTCCTCCAGGCCTAGGATACAAAAACCGTATTAAGAGCAGAAATTACTTGTGTAAGGTTATGGAGAAAACATTTTTTTTTTTTATTGATGAATAATAATGCTATCTGCTGAAAATTTTCTTACATGAATTTTCATTTGTATTAGTCTGTGAAGAAGTCTGAATTTTTCTGAGGAATATTTGTAAAAATAATAAGCGTTAAAGAAAAGTGATGGGGACAGAAATATGTCACAATCGCGAAGACTCGTTTATACAGGGTGTCTCGTAAGTAGCAACAGTGACATTAAAACGACATCAACAATTTCCACCAGAAAAGTAAGAAATTTGTGATTTTTTATAGCGAGTTTTAGTAAGGAATCGATAACATAAAAAATGTTTGATTTAAGTAATTGTTGCTCCATGCTAAACTAGAAAATTTTTACTTCAAACGAAAGTAGGGTTTGTCATAGTTAACTCCATTCAAACTATTTAGACAATTGGGTGGACAAACACAGATAAGTTCCGTTTAAAAAAAAAAGCCAAATTATTTGTGATTTTTTTTTTTTACCACTCTTCAACTGTACTACATTTAACCCACTTTTATAAAAACTTCCTCCTTTAATAAGCTTTTGGTCCATATTAATTAAGTTGAGGTTTATCACGGAAAAGTTTGAGATTCACCTGAAGTTGTGTAAAGAAATTATCTAACTTCCTATTCGGTCACCTTAAAGTACTCGTGTTTTCTACAAAAATGACTGAAATTAACTGTTGCAAAGATTTTATTTCTTGTTTTCCGTGATATTAGATGTATTATAATAAACATAGAAAATTTAAATCTAATATAATTTTTAATGTAAGGTGGTTATGAAATCGTGTTTTTTTCTCCCAGATTTCTTTCATAGGAATTTAAGGGTATTTATAAGTGACAAAGTTAGTTTTTCTTACGAAAATGGACGTTTAAAATAAAGAAATCTACTGATCCGTACAGTCAAAAACCTAGGAATAACCTTAGACCAGAACCTCTTCTGGAATAACCATATCTCCCAGATTACCCGAAAATCCATTACTGTCCTTAAGCAACTCCTAAGTTGTATGCCATTGCAGAGCCGCTGCTTTAAAAAATGGTGGCTGATTTAAAGAATATAAGGCCAGTAATTTGGGGAGGATAACGGGAAATCCATTATAGGAGCCACCAAGCAAACACATTTTACAGCCAAAAAAGTCAGATTTTTTCGTAATATATATATTTTTTCATCTATAACTCTTAAACGATGCATCAAAGCGAGAAATGTACTCTTTAATAAATTAAAGAACGTTAAATTATGCGTCGAACAAGTACATGAACTTTATGATTTGCTTACGTGGTAAGGTATAAAACCACGGCCAACCAACGCTGATTTTTGGCAAATTTGTCAAAAACTAAGACAAATTACTATAAACGGCCCTGTACGAGTTCACCATGAACAAAAAACCAGTAGTATCAACGTTGTAGAACATTAAATTTTACGTGCACTAAAGGGAGATTACCGATTTTTTCCGGGGTAAGTAACCTACATTAAAATAATTGGTACTCAGTGGACGCCATTTATAGTTCCAGGTCCATTTATAGTAATTGGTCTCAGTTTTAGACAAATTTTGTAAAAATCAGCGTTGGTTGACTGTGGCTTTATATCTTACCACGTAACAAAATTATAAAGTTTATTTACTGGTTCGACGCATAATTTATCGTTCTTTAATTCATTAAAAAGTACATTTTTCGCTTTGATGTGTCGTTTAGGAGTCATAGGTGAAAAAACAAAAAAAATCTTACTTTTTTGGCTGTGAAACGTTTTCTCTTGGTGGCGTTAGCAATTTGTTTTTTTAAAACGTACATAATAACCCCATATATATAAGTTAAAAAATAAAAAGTTTTCTTAAATTTTTCGCAATGGATTTCCCATTTTGATCTTCAAATTATTGGCCTATTATTCTTTAAATTAGCCGCCATTTTTAAGAGCAATGGCTCTGTAATGGCAGGCAAGATTCTTTTTACTCAGAATAACATACATTTTTGGAATTTACATTCAAGCCTTTGCATGCGAAAGGAGGAGGATTTTCCAGATGTACTTTTAAGATAGTGAAGGTAGTTAAACAAAGTCAGAGGAGAGTGACATTTTTGTTTATGGATTGCAAGTCATTTGGTAAATGAAATATTCAAGGTAACATGTGTACAATCGTCAAGTTGTAAGTTATATTTAAAAAAAATATGACTATTAGCTAGTAATAAGATAAAAATAAATAAGAGAAGGCAGCTAATACAAACAAACAGTTTAAATGAATATTATAGTATAGTTTGACAATTTATGTTTACAGTACCGGCAGTTGTAATAAATTGAAATGATAAGTAGTATAGAATAAAAACCTTAGACAAAATTTTCAACAAAAAAGTTCATTTAATGCATGGACCAATTCCGAAGGGAAAAGGAGTTAAGACTAATTAGTGTTTTTATTAAGATGGTCACTAAACATACCATAACGGGTCAAATATCCCATTTTGAACTATTCCATTGAAAATGCACGTATAATTTTATTGCGTTTGCACATTTGACTTCATGACTTTTTCTAAGTAATTAATGTACAGTTATAAAAATATTTTTGTTTTGTTTTGTTTTGTTTATTCTGAGTAATCCTTGTTGTATACCGATATCTACCACAACAGGTCATTTGACCCGGAGAGAATTTTTTTGTTTTATGAGATTATCTAGTCATATTTGTAGTCAGTAAGTTGCACATTCTTCCAAAGACTGTTGCGTAAAGTAGTTCAACGAAAATAGCTCAGAATAATTTCAAGAAAATATCAAATTTTAGATTGAAAATAGCTTTTTAGTGTAAGAAAAAGTGGCAAAAATTGAAAGTCTTGGTAAGTACCTAGCTTATATTTTATTTTGATAGCTATAGTAATACAGATCATTTTTTACCCAGAAAAATGTCGAAGCAAACAAAACAGTACAAGTTCTTAGAAGATATAAATAATATTGGCGAAGAGTTTTCAGAAATTAGTGAAGATGAATTTTCTGAAAATGAAGATGTATTGGTTGCAAATAAAAATGAGTTTGATTCTACAGATACTGACGATGAAGAGGAAAATATTGTGAATGTATGTAGTGGCCGAAAAAGAATAAGATTACTCACAAGTTCGGAAGAAAGTGAAGTAGAAATAAATGAAGAAAATGTTGCGAATGATGGATCTGTTTGGCAACAAATGCAAGTAGGTGGCACACCTGGAAGAGCACCACTTCATACATTTTTGCTTTTGTAATAGAAATGCTCAACATACTATTTTGTTTAATCATAATAAATTTAATTTATATTTTTATTTCCTTCCTAACATCCATATTTCATACATTCAAGCATGAAACATAAAGTCGGGTCATTTGACCCGCTATGGTAGAAATAGGTATATATTAAGTCTTGGTATGATTAGTGTTAAACAAAGTCAGAAGGGGGAGAGGGTAACATGTTTGTTTATGGATTGCAAGTCATTTGGTAAATGAAATATTCAAGGTAACATGTGTACAATCGTCAAGTTGTAAGTTATATTTTAAAAAAAATATGACTATTAGCTAGTAATAAGATAAAAATAAATAAGAGAAGGCAGCTAATACAAACAAACATTTTAAATGAATATTATAGTATAGTTTGACAATTTATGATTACAGTACCGGCAGTTGTAATAAATTGAAATGATAAGTAGTATAGAATAAAAACCTTAGACAAAATTTTCAACAAAAAAGTTCATTTAATGCATGGACCAATTCCGAAGGGAAAAGGAGTTAAGACTAATTAGTGTTTTTATTAAGGTGGTCACTTAAAGAATTGCTCAAAAACTGTTCAAACTGATACCAACTAACAAGCGAACAAGAATGTGTGCTCCTCAAAGGCTTCGATGATGACGAAGCTGTTAGACCACGTGACAAGGGTGCTGCAGGAAGGATTATCAATTGTGTGCAGAGGGTGTTCGCCGAGATTGGTCTGGCTGTAAATCCAAAAAAAAAAAAGCGTGGGCTTAATAATCGATAAAGGAGAGTTGCTACAAGCAAAGCTCTCCCTAGAGAACGGAGAAACCATCGATTCAGCAAAGGTTGGTGGGAGACTTTAAAAGTATTTAGGATCTATTCGGGGGTGTGGTGCCACCTGTTGGTCTGACGGGGCCCTTTTTTCAAATGTCTGTGCTTGGCGGTTGGGTGGTGACCCTATATTGTTGAGGAGAGGGAGAACTTTAAAAAGTATTTAGGATCTATGTTCTCGAGAGAGCTGGCACTGAATGAGGAAATGGTGACCAAATTGAACAATAATTTCGATAAATTGTTAGCTCTTGTCTTCTTAACCCGGAGCAAAAGATCAACGTTGTTAACCAATACGTGTTCTTAACTACCCTCATCAAAAGGCGCCCCTCACAAAGAGTAACAAAACTCCCTGCTAATACATCAACAGCGATGTTCTATGCACCAAGGAGGTATTGCGGATTGGGACTGATCCGCTGTCAATTTGATCTTCATTGCTCTGTAAAGTCCACATTTGATTATAATGCGGAAATCGCAAAATGTGTGGAACCACGGGGAGTGGATCAGGGCCACCGAAATGTGAGAGATCTACGACAGTCGCTAAGACAAAATTCTTTTGAAGAATGGGCCGGATGCAGGTGGCAAGGCGTTGGAGTTCGGGATTTTAAAGAATCCCCGAAAGTCAATAAATACATATGCCAAAAGCAAATGCTTTCGGGATTACAATAGTCCAACGCCTTGAAACTCAATATCAATTACGCACCTTTTGCGTAGAGTCCCAGGAACCAGTGGGCAGTCGAAGGAAGTTCGGTCTCTATATCGTAAGTGCGGCAGATAGTCTCTGAAACAGCAGCCCATGTGATGGGAAAATGCGAAACACGCCGGCACCATAGAATAAAGTTTGAGTTTATGAGGCTCTTTAGAGAAAAGGAATTCACCTGCTTCGACGTGGTCTATTGCATCGACAGTGAAGGCTCTACAAGATATGCGGACATTGTTACATTTCCCATGTCTGGAAATACAGCTCTGATCTTGGATCCAAATGTCCGATTTGAGAGCAATGATCTCGATCAGGCAGATGAAGTGGAAAGGGAAAAGAAAAACATATACCATAAATGTATCATTTTCCTAAAAGAGAAGTTCCGCGAGACCTTCGGAGAGACAGAGTTCACCGTGAGAGGCCTCTGGTTTGGGTCTAGCGGAACGATCCCAAAAAGAACAACGAGCTTCCTCGAGGAACAAGGTGTTGATGTTGGAGAGCTGGCGAGATTGGCCGAGAATATTATTCTAGACTCCCTAGGGATCATCCACTACCACTTGTATAGCAATTAACTGTGAATTTAAGATGTCCATTATCAGTGGGCGGGGTGGCCGAATGGGCTAAAGCGTGTGCACTGCACCACCGTTGCCCGGCAACCTGACATATGAATCAAAGATATAAAAATAGACACGAGTCTTTTAAATCTCCCCCCATACTCCCTGGTCCGGAAAAATCACGTATAGCCTTAACGGCGAGGAAGGGAAGGACCCCTCCCCTCCCCCCCCCCAAAAAAAAGATGTCCATTATCATTTATGTATTGGTTTTAATTTTAATTTTTTGACTTTGACTTATCTTTTGGCCTATATTCAAGGAATTGCGTTAATATAAATGTGCAATTTAGTCTTGTATTTCTAATATTCGAATACTTTATTTTTTTTTTTAATGGTGTGGTGTGGACTAGTGTTGTGAAAAGTGAAATAAAAGTTATTATATTTATATAAAATTATATGTTTATATAATAATGGAATATTATGATGTAAGAGCTATGTCCATATGAATTGATCAGTATGCTGTGTAAAAAGCAACCCTATATAGTAGGGCAGCACTACTTTCAATAAAGTACTTCTCTCTAGTTAAATTCTAAGTATACCATTGTAATGTAGGCAAAATTTCCATTGAGAAAACAGTCTTCAATTTACTGAGGTTAATGATATAAGGAGCTTTTAGGAGGTCTAATAAGGCAAAGACAACCATTATGCCCATTTATTTCTTGAATCGAGATTACAGAGATATGCTGTCTGGGTAATAGGTATCAAAACTGCAGCACTATATCGGTCGTATTAGACTTTTCAAATAAAATAAAATGTCAATAATTCATCGAATACATCAGGAAGTATGTTAGCAGTCTAATGTGTGAGTTCCCTGTGAGGTATATTAGCATACGACTTAATGAATTTATAAAATGGCTACCTGTCTTGCGCTTCCAAAACAACGACCCTCTTGATCCCGCAAGAGATGAGCCTGTGCGCAGCAGAGAGTCCCGCCAGACCTGCCCCAACGATGACCACCTTAGGCTGCGCGCAGCCAGGGTCCAAGGCGCACATGTCCGGGATGTAGGTCTTCTTGGAGGGTTCTAGACAGGGGTCTTCGCAGGGTTCTACAGATTCCTTGACTTCATGTAGGTGCGGCCTTACTCTTTGGCCATAGACAATGCTCCTGAAATAAAAATCCAAGTTACACAATACAATATTCATCTTACGTTAAAATATTATCATTTGATTTGTTGAATTTAATTGTCAATATACGTAATCCTGTCATAAATATTGTTACAAGGAAATATATATAGATTTCAACAGAAAAATATTTGTTTTCAAAAACTTTATTAGAAAATAAAATGTATATCTATAAAGAGTAATACAAAATTACTTGAAATGTCCTCCTTTAGCATTGACACAGGCATTTAATCTCCGTGGCCATTCATCAATAGCAGCACGCAATACTTCTTCAGGAACCGCTTGGACCAAGTTAGGATGTGCTCTGTGGCATACCATCCTCTCCAGTTCGGACCAAAGCCGATGATCTAGTGGGTTGAGATCAGGACTTCCTGAGGACCAATCCAAGGGAGACGTGAACTCTTGAATGTTCTTTTGCAACCACTGCTGAGTTGACCCTGGTCTTGTGAGCTGGAGCAGAATCCTGCTGGAAAACCCAATGACTTCCAGCAAACAGAGTATCATTTAGAGGCTTGACAACAGGTTCCAAAATATCGTCGTGATAGTTTTTAGCGGCTGTTGTAACTCCTTTTCCACAAAAACTGAGCTTTGTGGTGCCATCAAAGCAAACTCCTCACCAAATTATCACTGAGGAAGGTTGATGACCTCTTTCCACTCTTCCAAAGACTTCCTGGGCTTCTTCAGAGCTGTGTGAGTACACACGATCATTTTGGCGATTACATTTTTCTTAAATTGAAAAAATTTTCTCATCGTTAAACAAAATCTTTCGATGAAGACAATTGGTATAACGGCCAAGGAGAACTTTGCTTCTATCCACTCTAATTTTTTTAGGGAAGTGGTTAGCCTTTGTCTTGCCATTCTTCGAAATTCAGCCATCCTAAGGTCACTTTCTATTATGTGAGACAGAGATTCCTATTTCTCGAGACATGATTTGTTTTTTTCTAATGGGATTTCTTCTGTTTCGAGCGGCCACTGCTCTGTCCCGGTCGAGGTCTGTCACATACAGGTAGGGTCTCATTATATCTATGTATATTGCGGTACACGAACATGCAACTGATACCCAAAGGTTTCAAAGTGTTCAAAATCACTGCCCTACATTTTCCAACTTTGTGGAAGGCGATCAAAGCTATTCGGTTTTCTTTATTACCCCACTCCATGTTAACTGATCGAAAAAAAAAAATACAAACTAATTGGGATTATTATCCTAACATGTAGAGTTAGATGTTAAGGATTATTTAAATAATACCTAAGGATGTAAACAAAATTCAACTTTTGTAACAGTATGTATGGAAGAATTAGCTAAGTATTGTATTAATATAATAATAGTGTTCACCAAGTTTTCGAAATTCGATCATAAAGATTATTAAAAGTTCGCGAATAACAAAAATGAATATCCATGTTTCTAACTTTTTTTTCCTACTCGTATATAGTCGTACATTCACTATAATAATAAAAATGTGAATCCACCGTTACTTTTTTCAAAAAAAACAAATTTGAGGCATATTTTGCAATTGCTATGAAAATTCGTATTTTTCCAGGAAATATGAAACTCAATTTGGTTTCTCCATAAAAAATATTTGAACCCACCTAACCCTTTGGTCGATACAATGGTTTCATTTTAACATTTTATTCATATTTTAGTTGTATTCCAGCTAGACTTATAGCTGTATTTATAAATTTATCATAAAAGAGCTCTCCTAAAAAATATATTTTTTTTAATTTATTAATTCATGATATTATATCTGTATTAAAAAAAAAACACATCTCGTAAATTTGTTCAAATTTATATAATGACATAAAAACACTTGTTAAGAAACTATCCACTGGTAGCACTCTAATAATATGTCTAGATTAGGTTCACGGGGCCATCTTCTTTTCTGGGATTTATCAGGAATTGAAGATGAAAGAAGGTTAGAAACGAGAGGGTTTGGCATGGTTCTGAAGTTTATTATGAAAATACATGTATCGGGTCAAATCTGAAACATAAAGAACATCAAGATCATTATGGATGATTTCATTTCTAACAAAGTAAGGAGAATTGATTATTTCACGAAGGAATTGGATACTAGAGGAATTCGATGGTTTAAGGAAGCTTCATAGCTCCATTCCATAAGTCCAAATAGGTCTTATTATAGTCATATATTTGAGATTCGGAAATGTCTGTTATTTTATGTTAATAAAATAACATAAACTGAGCGTATTATATATTTTTTAATTCCTCCCTTTAATATCGTCATATATTACTAAACGGAGTTACAATACTATCAAAGAAAACAGCTATGTTGATGATGTTGTCGGCTTATTGCAAAAATCCACTTAGTATTTTTAGATGGAGCCACAGGCCGATCTACGGGAGGGAGGTTTTCGGGCTGAAGCCCCCCTCCCCCAAATGTGAAAATATAACCATATTTTATGTGAAAAAAAAATTTTAAAATACCTCTTAAAATATTATTGTTCGTGTAATTACATTTAAAAGTACTTAAGGAATAACTTAAACACCATTTCATATAGGTAGTTAGTTTTTTTCTGTTTTTCCAAAGTAATTATCGTTATTTTTATAAAAAAAAAAAAGGTTTCGGGCTGAAGCCCCCCCCCCAAAATTAAATCCTGGATCCGCTAGTGGATGAAGCTGAAATTTTAAGAACGTTTATGTGAAGTTCGATCTAATTTATCGATGAAAAATAAGATAAGTATACTAAAATGACACAAACCTTTATACAAATACAAACTGACAAACCTTTATGCAAATACAAACGGATCATTCATTCCCTCATACTTACACCCTATCCCTCTTTTCCCAATTTTCTTCCTTCCCTTTATCATAAATAATTGTTCAAAGTAATCTAATTAAAGGGATTCGCTGGCACTTTACTTTGAAGATAATATTTTTGGAAATTAATAACGATTATTTGTTTAATAATGAAATATAGGGGCGTAGTTGTACAAATTTTAAAGCAAGGATAAAAATAACCTTCACTTTTATGTATTTGATAGTTAGAATCGATGTGTAATGTTATATCGATGTATGTGATGTTAATGCATGTGTAGTGACAAAACATACGGATAAAAAAAATCTGGCTTTTAAAATGTCACTCAAGTAATTTTTTATTAATGTATATATAAGATAGAAATATTGTATTAATGTTATTCACAGGCTACTTTAAAAAAAAAATACTTTTTCCTAACAATGTTTTTGAGCAAGTTCTGAATAAATAAAAAATGTACATATATATGATTCAACCTATTGATTTTACATTTAACTCAATATATATCAATGGTATGCAGTGAAAACAATGTCACTCAATTTTAATATTTTTTTAACGGAAAATAAAATAGTATTTATAAATATATTTAAAAAGATAGAGATTTTGTTTATATATTGTTTACTGTGCAGTATCAGTCTTGCTTGTTTATAGATTAGACACATCTATGTACCATCAAATACCTAGATGTTTCTAATGAAACATTAATATAATCTACATAAAAAGATATTTTAGACCGTGTTTCTTTTTATATTGTTCCGTGTTATATGACACTGACGGACTGATGGAGTTACGAGGTTTTCATTGGCTACCATCGATTTATAGAAATAACCTTACCTGATATAAGTGTGCCAATTTTTTACCGAATTCGATCCAAATTTACTCCTAAACATGATTGAAATTTCAATAAAAATATCGAAATTATCTTGTTAAATTTATAATAATGATAAAACACTGACAATTAGGTTAGTTTCATTTACTTCTAATTTATTATAGACATGTGTGGAATACATTATTGTAGAATTGATAAAATTACGAAATAATGTAATAGTTTTTAATATTCTTCAAATTTTCAAGGCTAAGCAGCCATGGTGGTTCATGTTTCAAAGAAAAATAATAAAGAATTATTTTACAATCGTTTAGTTTTGGCGCCCAATTAACTACAATCAGAGGTTTCATTGTCCTAGTTGTGTCATTAAAAATATTAATGTGAGACATTTTAACTCAACTATGAATGTGTGTGGAGGGGGGGGGGGGCATCGGTTAGTGAATTTTCGGAGGAAATATTTTGGTGTGGTGATACTGAGGGTGGTATTCACAAGAAATACTTTTATGAAACTCAATGAAAAAGAAATTCTTTCAGTCAATTTGGAGAGAAGAACCCATAACACAATAACGCCATTGTAAATTGAAACAGTTCCATTACCTTCTTTAGCTACTTGATGCTCAATCGATACTTTAACCGTAAATTACAAACGTTTTTCAACAAACCTTAAACCCAAATGTTCGTAAATTTTACGATTTTTATGTAACATTAGGTTCTTTTTTGTTCTTTAATCTCATTAAAGAAATCGATTTTTTATTTGTTTTCTTTAATCTCACTTTTTACGTAAATCAGGTTCATTCATTCATTCATGTGTGGCACGACATCCCGTTACCGAGACTGGGCCTCCTCCAAGAGCCTCCGCCAGTTGGCTCTGTCTTCTGCTGCAGCTCTCCAGTTCCGTACACCAAGCAGGGTTCGGAATTAATAACGATTTTTGGAAATTAATAACGATTATTTGTTTAATAATGAAATATAGGGGCGTAGTTGTACAAATTTTAAAGCAAGGATAAAAATAACCTGTTAACAATAACCTTCACTTTTATGTATTTGATAGTTAGAATCGATGTGTAATGCTATATCGATGTATGTGATGTTAATGCATTTGTAATGACAAAACATACGGATAAAAAAAATCTGGCTTTTAAAATGTCACTCAAGTAATTTTTTATTAATGTATATATAAGATAGAAATATTGTATTAATGTTATTTACGTTATTTACGTAAATCAGGTACTCTATTATAAATAAATATTATCTATAACAAATCTCTCGTCCATCATATTAGTTCATTTTTCGATCAGAGAGCGCGCCATCTGCCAGCTCCCCTTCTTCCCGCTATAAGTGCGTTTGTCTGACTGCTTCTTGTACAGCAGATTTGTTTATCTTTATTATCTTATTCTCCTTTTCTTCGGCCTTCCCGTCACTCTATTTTCCATATCTTCACTCTATTTTCTAAATATGATACATTTTTTCATAGATTCCTAAGTGCACATTTACTAATTGTAATTTTTATAATACAGTTACAATACAAATTTATAATGCAGATATTTGATATCAATGGAAAAAAAATAAATAAATAAAAACAAGATAAGTATATTCCTTAGTGTGACAGCAACTTATATCAAGGGAACGCATTTAAAATTTTCTCTCAAAAACAGCTTTAACGATTTTGATTAAACTCGGTGTATCATTCTATATAATTAAATGGTCTTTAATATCATTTAGGTCTTATTCCCATTAATATCACTTAACAGGGCTTAAATGCCCAATATATATACGTCTTCCTCTAAAGTACCTTCAATATCTTTTTTTTTTTTTTTTTTAAATAACTTTTTTATTAATAGTAATTATAAAAAATGGCTAAATATAAGGTTTAAAAGAATATGATAATTTGAAACTGGAGAAAAAAAGAAAAATGCCTATCCAGGTAGAAAATGAATCTCCGGAAATAACAGTCAGAAGGTATAAATATAACACATCATTGTAAAGCAGAGAATTTTGGAAAAACATAATATTAAAGATTAATATTAGATTTTTTTAAACATATTTTTGATGGATTTTACATTAATGTTCTATTTATATCTATTATTTCCTTTTATAACTTCATATTTCTTTTCTCTGTTTTACATGTTATTCTAGATTACCATTTTCATTTCTTAAGTTACATTATAGTTTATTATGCTTGTTTCATTGGTCCGTGCTTTGTTACAGTTATTATTATATATTTATTAGTTCTCTGTTATGTTATCATTCTACCTACTTTGTTTCACTTTAATGTTCATTCTATCTACTTCATTTTACGTTATGTTGTTCTACTAAAAATTATTAGTCTTTAACTATCACCCTTTTTTAATCTTAATTCTGTATTATTCAATGTTATTATACCTATTGTTATCTGGTTTTTTTACCAGCCCTAATGAAGGCCTGAACTTAGGGCCGCAACGTCAGTAAATGTAAAATTATTTATTTTTTACCATTTCAATTTGACTGAACACCCCAACCATCTTTCTCTTCGATTTCTATGTAACATTTGTTTTTTCCAAGATATAACAAGATTTGTTAAAACTCATTGTTTATTAAATTAGAAACATTCATAAAACTTATAAAAATTGGATACAAATATATATTTGGTTCTTCATCACACAAATCATTGTGGGTTACACTTAGATTCTTGAGGTTCTCTTGATTGCCCTGGACTTTTAATTTTAGGTCTTTTATTATATATTCCATCATAAATTCATTGAAATATAATGAAAATGTCTCAATTGGGCCAGAAGTGTTTTTTTGTTTCCCCCGCTGGGATTTGAATTTGATGAACAATATTAATTTGTGGTGTTCAAGCAGTATTTTATTTTTCGGTGACACAGAACACCAACGATGCCCATTTTCACCACTTAGTTACTCTTATTTAGTACAATAAGATATTTATAAGTGAAATATAAAAATATTTCATGGATATGTTTATAACCTGGAATACATTTACTGTAGTTTATTAACTCTAGATATGATATTATGTCTAAATAATTAGGTATTTATTGGCCTCTCATTATAAAAAAATCATCAAGTAACCTTTTAGAAAATCAAATTACTGAATAATTTGATGAATTTTCGCTTTGTCAAATCCGTCACTATCCACTTACAGGTAGTGTGATAAATTAGGAAAACAACTGTTTAATAACTTATAGTCCTACAATCAATAATCATTTATAGATTAAATACTCAGATATACTTTCAAATCTCTCCAGGCATATGTGTGCCTTTCAGTTGACAGAATGACTAACTCCAATTTCAATATTCTTTATTAATAATTTTAGTGACGTTTCTAGTTGAAAAATTTAGATTTTTATTCACTGTTTGTATAGGTAACATTTTTCCAACTAGAAATATCACTAAAATGACATTACTCAAAAATGTTGAAATTGGAGTTAGTCATTCTGTCAACTGAAAGGATCAGAGATTGAAGTTGTGTGGATTATAAAAGCAGATGGAGTAACTAGATTTTGATTGCCTACCATCGATATAATAAATAGACTTTTTGTAATTTGAATGATGTTAATTGTTAAGTACTTGGAATACTAAAGCACAAAACTACAATATTATTGAACACACAACTGTTTTATTCATCATCAAAGATAACACTGTGAGGTTAATACCACTCAATCACTAATTGGTATAATCGATATATCACAATTCCCCCCTTTCTAAAAAAAGTGTATCATAGTTACAAAAATAGAAACATATATGAAACATGAAAACATTAAAAACATGAAAAAAATTATCAAAATTACATATAAGTCTTGTATAAAACTAAGAACACAAATAACTGAGTCTTCTGCAGCTCTCAAGGAGGGCTCCCACTTCCATGACTGATTATTTGGTTGCTCTCTTGTTGATTTATAGAAATATCCTCTTCTCTTATTTTTTTTTCCCAGGGAGAAATCTGACGATTTGGTCCACATGGCGTTTGCATGTAATACCATCGTCTGTTTCAACTAAAAATGTTACAGGTGACAGTTGCTTTTTTATTCTTCCTCGAGTCCTCTTATTTGCGGCATTTACACTAAAATCATCTACCATTACTTCATCATTTACCTGAAAGTTGATACAACGGGATGATTCATTTCTTAAGAGGGATTGGCACTGCTTAAGTTCCACATCATTATTCACATTTGGTTTCAGAAGGTCAAATTTCGTTTTAATTTCTCTTTTATACATAAGATAAGCTGGTGATCTTTCGGTAGTAGAATGCTCTATTCGCCTGTAGTCTAAAAGAAAACTGTCCATAGCATACTCGACTGATAGCCCAGATTTTAACATCTTGCACATTTTATCTTTGAACGTACCAACAAAATTTTCTGCAGCTCCATTTGTTGCTGGATGTTTTGGAGGTATTACTGTATACCTTATACCATTCCTTTTCAAAAAGTTTCTGAATAAACTGCTTGTGAATTGGGGTTCTCCATCAGTAACCAAATGATCACACAATCCGTGTCTGACAAATAACTTTTTGAAGATTTGAATAACCTTCCAGGCTTTCATATTATCTCTCATGTCAAAAACTTCTGGCCATTTGCTGTGGGCATCTATGACAACTAAAAACATCCTATTTCGTAAAGGACCTAAGAAATCAGCGTGTAGTCGAGACCAAGCTTTGCTTGGATAAGACCACTGCGAATTCGCAATTTTGGTTGGATTCTTTTTATTCGCTACACAGGTGAAGCAACTTCCAACGTAATTTTCAATATCTAAATCCAAGTTCGGCCACCAAAAATAAGATCTTGCCATTTGCTTCATCTTAGTTATACCAAGGTGTGATGTGTGTAAATGCTTCAGTAAGATAAGTCGAAGTGATTCTGGTATAACCACTCTTATTCCCCACATGAGACATCCTTTATCCAGCGATAATTCTAGTTTCTTTGAGTAAAACTTCTTTTCGATTTCAGATAAATTCTTATTTTCAGTTGGCCACCCCGCGGCTACCCAATTTATCACCTTGCTTAATATTCTATCTTTCACTGATTCAGTGACCACTTGTTTGTAATTCAACACAGGCATCCCTTCTTCCACATAGTTAAGAGCTGTAAATTCTGTATCAAATACCGGAGTGTGGTCATTCAAAGGTACTCTTGACAAAGCATCGCAGTTACCGTTTCCTGAGGACCTTACGACTTCTATACTGTAAGTGAATCCTGAAAGATAATAAGCCCATCTTTGTAATCTATTTTGAATTGTGACAGATAGATTTTTGTAATTTCCAAAAATGTATTTCAAAGGTTCATGGTCTGTTCTAAGAATTATGTGAGCTCCATAGACATACTGGTAAAATTTCTTGAAGCCAAAGATGATGGCAGCAGCTTCTTTATCAATGATTGCCCTATGCCTCTCAGTTACCGGAATTACTTTCGATGCAAATGCTATGGGTTTTTCCTCTCCATTCTTGAATTTATGAGAAAGGATCGCTGACAGTCCGTATTGACTGGCATCACATGACAGGACTAATTGTTCATTCGGATCAAACAATGTCAATACCTTGTCGGACACGATTTGCCTCTTGATCCATTTGAAGCTTTCCTCACATTCTTCGGACCAATACCACTTTTCTGACTTCAGCAAATCATAAAGACAACTCAGTTTATCAGCTCTGTGCTTCAGAAATGATTCATAATAATTCACCAATCCAAGAAAACTCCTTAACTGTTTGCAATCTTTAGGCCTTGGAGCACCCGTGACTGCAATAACCTTACTTTCTGCTGGATGAATTCCTTGTTTATCCAGAACAAATCCTAAAATCTCCAACTTACTTTTTAAAAATTCACACTTTCTTTCATTTACTTTTAAGCCTGCTTCATTTAAGCGCCTAAATATTTCGGTTATGATAGAAATGTGCTCTTCATCTGTTCTACCTGTACAATAAATATTATCTATGTAAATTTCAGTGTAAGGAATTCCTTTAAGTATTTCCATTAAAATTTCCTGACATTCTCCAGGGCTGGACGCCACGCCCTCCGGTAGTTTGGTATATTGAAATAAACCTTCATCTGTAATAATCGTTAGTGCTTCTTTAGAAATTTCATCAACTCTGAATTGCATAAATGCATGTGCTAAATCAATCTGAGACCATTTACTACCTACTTGTAATTTACTAAAAATCTCTTCTTTACTTGGCACAGGTTGACGCTTGATAATTAAATATGGATTGACGGTTAACTTAAAGTTACCACACACTCTAACTTCCCCATTGGATTTTAGAACAGGCACTATAGGTGTCGCCCAACTACTAACCGTCACAGGCTCTAGGTTACCTACGGAAATTAATCTTTTTATTTCTCTTTTTACCTTGTCTTTAAGTGCAAAAGGCACCCTATGTGGTTTTAATTGTACAGGCACTGTGTCTTTTTTAAAAATTAATTTAACCTTTTTTCCTGTATAAACTCCTTGCCCTGGACTAAATAATGTCGGGAATAATGACTTAATCTTAGCCATTACTTTCTCACTTGTATCCTCTGAATTACAATAATTTAATTCTAGTTTGAATGGCCACAGGCCAAGTTTGTTAAGCCAGCTTCTTCCCAACAAAGAGGGACCTCTCCCTGGTAAAACATAGCATTTTACATCATTTACTTCCTTATCATTAAATGACACTTTCAAATTTGTTAGCATCCCTATAGGCTTCAAATCGTTTTTACCATATGTTGTTAAGGTTAGGTCAGGTTCGATCATTGCTGTATGTGAAAAATATCGATCTTTCGATTCTTTTGATATCACTGTTACATATGATCCGGTGTCTACTTGCATTGTAATTTTAACTCCATTTATTGACAAATCAATGACCAACGGTTCCGCCTTGGATTCCATATTCATCGAATTCGCATTCGATAGTTCAATGTCCCCTAAAAGAATTTGTTCTAAGTGAAAAAAATTTTGTTCATTATTACTATCGTCTTCTGTTTTTATGCCCTCTTCTAAATAATTTACTCTTTGCTTTACTCTTTTGTTCCGTTTTTTTAGACACATTTTTTTCCAAATACCCCCTGACATTACAAAAGTTACACACTTTAAATCTGTGAATACATTCTCTAGCATAGTGACTGCTAATCTCACCGCAACAATAGCAACTAAAATTGTTTTTATTGCTATTAAATAATGATGGATGTGTATTACCTTTTTTAATTAAGTCTTCTTTACACTGCATCTTCCCATAACTAGACCGCCCTTGAGTTAATTCTAGACTTCTACCTTTAGGTGATTTGTTGCTGTCTGTATTTCCTCTGATATAGTTTACCTGCGAGCACAGGTTATCCGATGAGTTGCTAGTGCCTGCGGTGTTAGAAACACTTTCCATTGCCAGTTCCCTGGTCTCTGCCATTTTCAAAGCATCTGAAAATTAAACCTTCTCTTTCCTAAATAATTCAACTCGTGTCTCATGATTCTTTATATCGCAAACAAATTGATCTCTTAGTGACATCTCAACATCGGGAAAGTTACAGTGCATAGATGCTCTTTTCAAACGGGCTACAAAATCATTTATTGTTTCTGACGCTAATTGATATATATTATTAAATTTATGTCTTTCTAATAGTTCCGAAGATTTAGGATTTAAGTGCTTAGACATTAAAGAAACAATTTCTTTAAATGAAAGGTCCTTTGGATTTTTTGGTATAGCTAAATTTCTAATAAGAATGTAGGTTTCTGCACTCACCTTCATAAGCAGTTCTGGTACATACTTACTTTCTTCAATATCATGTGCAAGGAAATAAAGTTCTAACCTTTCAATAAAAGTGTCCCAGCCATCCTCATGTAAACGAAATTCAATTTTACAGGTCTCCATCCTGTAGCTTGCTCTTTTATTCTTTCTTTTAACTTGGGTTACGTTTCCACTAATTTCCTTGCTTTCTTCTTTATTTTCACTTCTCAATTCCTGCACTAAAATTTGCCTTAACCTATCTACAGAATCAGCCTCATCAAAAACCAAACCTAATTCTTTTAGTTTTAAAATCAAGTCTTGTTTCTTTAATTCATACACCCACGAAGTACCTTTCTTCATTACTTTTATCCTCGTCGCCAAATGTTAAGTACTTGGAATACTAAAGCACAAAACTACAATATTATTGAACACAACTGTTTTATTCATCATCAAAGATAACACTCAATCACTAATTGGTATAATCGATATATCACATTAATGATTTGGTATCTGTAATCTTTAAGCTTTAGCTCCGTTTAAAATGCACTTCAATGTTATGTTGCAACTTCTCTTAATGGTTTGCGAACTTTTATGTGTGAAAACTTAAATATAAATGTTATTATATTTCTTAGATTCATCTTATAGAACTATTTCTCACCGTACCAAGACATATTTCAAATCCATGTAACATCCAGAATAGTTTTTTAGCACCATTAACTGACTGTTTGATTTGGAATGTTCCTATAGCTCACAGAGATGAGAAAAAGAATGCAATTAAGGGAAATTTCATATTGTTCATTTTAAGATTAACAAATATTACCCTTTACTTATTATAAAACTAACTTCTTGCATTTCACGACTTAAATTTATCAGGACACGACAGGAATGAGAACAAGGATGTAATTATGTGAAGTAAAGTGTTGACATTTTATATTCTTCATTTTAACATAGATATTATCTTTACAACAAGAATTATCTTTAACATATTATGAAACTTCGTTTTGTTCCCCGTCTTAAAGGTTTTAAGGCTGGTGACTAGAAAAAAATCTGTTATTGGCAATAGGAAGATTTTTATTGCCTACCCTCAATACAATAAATAGATTTTTGTAATTTTAATGGTGTTAATGATTTGCTATCTGTAACCTTTAAGCTTTAGCTCCTATCTATATATTTGTTCTATATATTTAATCCAAATCGTTATCATTTTTTTTTTAATGGCAGAGTAATAAATGGTCCCATTTTTAAGACTCATTATATTTAGCACATCTTTTAATTTATGAGAATACAGGTCTGTCAGTTACTGGCAAAAAGCGCCATTACAAGGCTCCAGTTTCTGACACCCATTAAATTTCCAATTCTTTCATCAAAATAAGTTAAAAACAGATAAAACATAATCTAAAAACACTCCAAGAAACAATTAAACAAAAAATTTGATATAAATAAAGAGAAAATGGCAAACCTAAGGTATCGTGTTGTTACTCATGGATGGTTGTTCCTGGGATACTAAGTGGACTGAAAGGGACCTTCCAAATTTGCCACTTATCATTTCGGTTACGATTTTTGACTAGACTAAAGCAAAGCAGACAAATATATATAGGAGAAAATATAAAAATCCAAAAATATATCAAATAGATGTTTAGGAGGTCTGGAAATTTTATTATTCCCATTTTTCGAGGGAATGTATTCGTACACTGTCAGCTATTGGTGTTTTTACCCTACTGTTACATTATATTTTATTATGTTTTATTATATGGGTTTTATACAACTCAAGGAGTCATATCTCCAATACCCAAAAGCCACTGCTCCCTGTCCATCCAATCTCCCTCACGAAGCCAAGCCCTCTGGCTGCCATGCTTTCCTCCACGTCCTCCATCCATTTCTTCTTTGTCCTTCCACGCTTCCTTCTTTCAGGTGGCACATAGTTATAAATTTTCTTTGGCCAGCGGTTCTCATCCATCCGCATTAAGTGGCCATACCACTTTAACCGTTTGGTCCCGATCAGGTGAAGGATGTTCTTTTGACATCCGACCTTGTCTCTAATTGCTGCGTTTGGGATCCGCTCGATTCTGGATATGCCACAGCTTCTTCTCCAGAAATCCATTTCCATGGAAAGCAACTTATTTTCCATCTTTTTTGTCAGTGTCCAGACTTCTGATCCATAAGTGGCTACGCTTTCTACAAAGGAATGGTATATCTTTTTTTTAGTTTCTAATCTTAGTTCTTTCCTCCATAGGGTTGAATTTGTCGAACTTATTATTCTTTTCCCATTATTTATTTTATGTTCGATATCAACCTCACTACCACCCTTTGAAGATAACCAGTATCCGAGGTACTTGAACTGTTGGCTGACATTTAGCGTCCAGTCATCAATTTCAAGGGGCAAATTTGGAGCGTTAAAAACCATATACTCTGTTTTACTTTCACTGATTTTCAGACCCCATCTGGAATACGTGTCCAGCAACTTCCTCATCATATAGCTAACATCATCCGGATCCGATGCGATTATGACTTGGTCATCGGCATACTGCAAATTGTAGATGACATCATTCCCGATTTGAACACCCATTCCACAGCACGATCTTTTCCAGTTTTTAAGGGCTTGTTCTATATAAATGTTGAAAATCAGGGGTGAAAGGCAGCAGCCCTGTTTCAATCCTTTGTTAATGAAGAAGCTTCTAGACACTCTATCTCCAATTTTTATAGCCCCCGTTATATTTTTATAGAGCTCTTGAATTGCTCTGATGAGGTATCTCTTAATAGATGTGGCTTCCAAAGCTTTCCACAATTTCGCTAGAGGTACTGAATCATAGGCCTTGTGTAAATCTACAAATATCATATGGAGTTCACGGTCGTGGGCCGTGGGCCATCTGTAGTCCCGGGCATGACGTTAAACTGTGACCTGGGTGGACAGGACTCATAGCCATAGTGAAGGCAACCTGTCTAGGGGAAGGCAACCCCAAAATCAAACCACTGTCCTTGCAGTTTAAAAAAGGTTGATCGTAGGGCCAGCACCCCTTCATCAGAAAAAAATATTTCGCTTTCAAACCCAAAACAGAAAGAAAACCGGACATTATATTTGTATACATTATTAATTATCATTAGGCGGACACTCGGGAGAATTCGAGGCCAGACTTAAATGCCTAATGAACTGCGCAATACGTTTTGTTTTCGGAATATCGAGAGATACGCATATAACCGAGTATTACACCAAGTTGAAGTGGCTCTATGCATCCAACCGCCGTTTGTATTTTTTTGCCACTTTTCTATACCAAGTCATCAGAACTCAGCGGCCTTCCTATATTTTTCACAACCTACAATTCAAATATTCCATTCAATCCCATCTCACTAGATCTCGTACCTCCGACCTCTACCCACCTCCCCACCGAACTGCAGCGTTTGACAAATCCTTTATAATTCAAGCCGTCTCCTTCTGGAATACCATCCCTCCCGATATCCGACATGTACAATCGGTTTCCTCATTTAAATCTCTCCTTTTTAACCACCTACTCCTTTCCCAACCTGATTGATCATGAAATGTAGATAAGAGAACTTTTAAAGTTCCCCCAGAAATTATTTTCTTTACTTATGCTATTTTATTTTATTATATAGTTTGTATTATACATATCAGAATGTTTTTAGTGTAATAGTTATATTTTTTGTTTTATTATTTTTTCAAAATCTTAATCTTAATAATAAATGTAAATAATTAATTTTATGTATGGCCACACAGGCATTTATTCTGTATCTGTAATTTGTCCTAAAGGGACAACAGTCCCAGGATAATAAAAAAATATTTTCATTTTCATTTTCATTTCATTTCATTTCATTATCACATAATTATTATTACATTTAACCAGATTAAATAAAAAATACAATATTTATTCCAGGAGGAAGAAATAATTTTTTGTAAACTATAAAGAAACTAGAATTATCTTTTATATATAGATTATTTCATCAAAAATTGTTACAACTGTTGAATTATATTTGTTTTATGCTTTATTGATAATAAATGATGAATACCTCATCTAAAAAGTTATTTCTTATTTAATATGTTTGCATGTTTGCTACAGATCTGAAAGCTGATCGTAAAAAGATGAAGTCTGAAAAGTACGACCTGCTTAACCAGATGAAGCAGCTTTACGCGACCTTGGACGACAAGGAGAAGGAGCTGAGGGACTTCATTCGGACCTTTGAACAGGTATTCAAGCAGGTACTAGAGCTATTGGTACTAACTGCACAGAGTATCCCCAAACACTGCACTAACTGTTCAGTTTATTTCTGTTTTTAATATCATTTAATTGTTATTATTATTTTATTTTCTGTTTGTTTTTTCACTTATAAATGTTGTATTGTTTGTGCAAGGAGTTTTGCTTGCCGCTTCCACAACCAACAAGTAGTATGTGGATAACACTCAGCAATGTATTGGTAAAATATCTTTGGTAAATAATGTATTAAAAAAAAAGAGAAAGAAATATTCCGACATTTTTATTATTTATATTGAGTAATGGGAAACTCTCTCACCATTATCCAAATTGATCTTTTGTGAAATACCCATCTGTTCATTAGAGCATCCCATATTAAAAGTCTTACATTTACACTCAGTCTTTCTTTATCCTCTAGTTCCAGACGGCAAATCATCCGTTGGTTTCATCTTCTTGTAATATTTTAGCTCAGATGCCTCTGAGATGATCGGTTTCATTTCAAAAATCACTTTTTGCAGTAAATTATCCAGTGATTGAATTTGAAAATTATTTTTTAGGCCAAATAAAATTATACCAGTTTTGTTTATGGCAAAAATTAAAATCACTTATGATTTTAATATCAAGCTAGAATTAATTGATCGCATTTACCCATTTTAGTAAAAATTAATTGTTAATATATGACTTATTATTTGTTTTTTTGAAAAACAATTAACTTTTTTAACAAGTCTTTTTAGGTTATATATAACTGTTATCTATGTGTGTTATATTTTTTTGCTCAAAATACTTTAGCCTACTTCAAATTGGAGTTAGTTTACTGAAAGTGGTTTTGTTCAGTTCAACTTGAAACAATCTATTTACAAATTGGTTATTTATAATGTTTATTTTCGATTTATTTATGTTTTATTTACTTATATATATTTAATTCATTTCTAAAATTAGTAGGATGAAGTCAGGTAAAGTTATTTGAATAATATATAAGTAATCGACTTGTTTCAATATATTTTAAAGTATTGAAAATTTGTCAGCTTATCATATGAATTAAAAATTGGTTTTAGGACTTCATTTTTTTTAATTGATTTTTTCCTACTGAATACAATGAAACCACTCTCAACTTGGTAGTTTAAATTTGAAACAAAATATAATGTTTTGAGTAAAACAATTAATTCTAAAAAATAACAACAATATTTTATTCAAATTTTATCGCTCAACAATAATTACCATAAAAGGATTTTTAATATGTTGTTAATTAAATCAGAGTTACTCTAGACACTAATTCGAAAATTATTTTTGAATTATAAAAATAAGAATGTAGTCAAGATGTTTACAATAAAAAAAAAAAAATTCTCAAATTCAATCCCGGAAATAATCACTTAGCTAGTCGAACAACACTTTTAACTGGATTTTAAAAGTTCTTTTTACTTTGTTAGGTTATGATTTTAGTCATTTGAGTGCAATTAAGAATAGCAACTTCCTTATGATGTCAATAAAGCTTGCACGTCTTTCATTAGGGTTGGCCATCGTCTTTTTCTACCACGCCTGTGTTCAGCAGCCTTCCTGATATAGCACTAAAGAGAATTAGATCTATAATTGTCTTGTGAAATTTCCTACATTCATTAGCTGAGGGAAATCACTCTGCGTTCAAACATATTACCTGTCCCCTTCAGCAGTTTGGCACTTGGAGGCTTACAGTCATTACAGGTGTGCTAGTGTAGACAATGTGCTCAGTGGTCACAGATACTCTGCAACTTCGTAATAGGAGGTCCATATTCTTCCTAAGTTGAAAGAGTTTTGCTCGGTAGCCACCAAGTCGACTGAGTAGTTGACAGACCCAGTAATCAGGTTATCTCCATTTTGCTGCTAGCTGAGAACCGATGATGACAAAATATTTCCTCAGTATATCTATTTTTGTTAACCATCACCCATTCCATTCATAGAAAGTTAAACATTAGCTCCATGGCTGTTGTGAGGTATTTTGTAATTGTTCATGTTGTGCCTAGGAATGCCATCTATTGAAATATCTTAAGCCCCATTTATATAGTTCTGTCATCACCTTCGCCACTAAGTGAATTTCAAGTGGCCCATGCGTAGGCTATCACTGGTCAAAAGATTATGTAACCATTCTAGAATTTTCGGTTAAATTCCTTATTAACAAGAGATGATGAAGTCATCTGTGATCAATCTACACATATCGCTCGAAGGCTGCTTGAATATTGTCATCTGTTATCCAGAACTTGCCTAATTCAACTGTTCACTCCCAGCCATTAAACCCTTAGCCTTCGTATTGATCTTGAATTGAGTTTATCAACGCTGAAGTCTTGAAACATTAGGTTTATTGATAGCAGCGCCCACGGTTGCAAGACGCAGCTCGTCTCCTTTCAGGGATGTTCCAGGTTATAGTGTCCTTAAGACCTCTGCTATATGTGAGGAAATGTCTCCCTTCAGTCCTTTGATCCTTATTCTATTGAGTTGAAAATAATGCAGTATTTTGAGTTTTCTTTAAAATACTCCTCTATATAACAAACTGTTTACATTTACTGGATTATTCATTTGTATGAATGTCTTTTTAATCCTCTTCCAAACGATAATGTTTCTTTACCTCTGTAGCATTTCGCTGCTTAGAAATAATTCAATTTTTACTAAGATGTCAACGTGTGATTTTCGTATAATTTTGTTTTAGTAGTTCAAACTCAGCCGAAATGGGGCCCAGATGGCCAGAAACATCAATCAAGTCTGGGGTGAGAGCAGCATTAATGAGAGCACTGTTATGACAAAGGTCTTGGAAGGACTTCCTTTCTTGATGACAATGTTCTGCAGGCTTTGGTGGACGAAAATCCCAGAACTACTGTTAGAGGATTTACAGGAAAACTTAATCTTAGCGAATTGACTGTCGATGATCACCTCAAGGCGATCGGAAAGTGGATTAGGTAAAAAAGCTTGAAAGTTGGATTCCATACACATTAAATGACTGCAAAGAAAAAGAGCATTATGAAGTTTGTGCTAGACTTCTTTGCCGAAATGAAACAACCCATTTCTGTCCTGAATTGTTACTTGTGATGAAAAGTGGATACTTCACGATAGCAGTAGACGTTCTGGACAGTGGCTTAACAAAAAAGAAGCAGCAGAACATTTTCCAAAGTCACCAACTTGTCAAAAAAAGTTACGGTTACTATTTGGTGGGCTTCATTTGGTTTGATACACTACAGCTTCTTAATTCCTGGAGAAACCATCGATATCAAATGGTATTATAACCTAATTAATGCAATGCATCAGAAACTGGCAATAATGAAGCCATCTTTGGTCAATGGAAATGGAAGGAATCCATTTTGTTGCATGACAACCCAGTCCACGCCTGTCTCACTTGTGACATCACAAGAACTGTTTAAGCTTGGGCATGAAACTCTGTCACATCTGCCCTTTTCTGTGGACCTCTCGTCTACGGATTATCAGTTTTTTAGACATCTGACTCACAGAAATTTAATGGACAATGGGAATAAGAAAATTCATTTTTGGAGTTTATAAATTTTAAAGATAGGAAATTCTATTTTAAAACCGAAATCCTGCATTATTTTCCGGATAATCCAATAACTTTAGCCGAAATCCCAGTTTTTGAATCTAGATGCTTTTTGATTTTTATAAATAAAACAGAAACTTCTTATGAGTGTGTTGTTCTGAGCGAAAGATTAAAATCAGCTGTTGTGAAACTGGTGAAGGCAAGAGAAATGGATTTGTCATAATCTCAATTATTTTATTGACATTTATTAACCATCTGTGATCATGACTTTACAATTAGCTATTGTTATGCAATTATTTAGGTGAAGACCTAAACACTATTTTTTCTTTAAATAATGTGATTGAGTGATATAGATAGTTCTTTTTATTAAATTTCAATACCTTTTCTTTATGTTTTTGTATCATTAAATAAAAAGCCTGTTTCATTATAAGTTCCCTCACTGCCCTCAAACATTATAACTTGCTAAGGAAAATATTAAATTACTAGGTTATAAAAGTAACAATCTCAGTTTTACTTTTTTTTTTAAATAACCAATAATACAGAGACATTGTTTTCACACAATTCCTAAATTAGATGTAACATTTTTCGTTATATGTTATTTCTCAAAGATTTTTTGTATTGGTACTCATTACCTTTGTTAATTCTTTATCATATACAATAGTGGATCCATCACTTTGAAGACTATCTTCTTCTTAAATACTGAAAAAATAAACGCATCCTCCAGAATAATCAGGAAAAAAAGTTATGAAGAAAAATAAACTTTATTTATGCATAACTCAATATATAGCTGATTATATCTATGGTAATTTGGATGGAAGGTTTCTAAATTCCGTATGAAACCAAAAAATATAAATTACCAAAATCAGACTTGTATTTGAATTGACTGTAGGTCCAAATTCCATCCAACCGGCTCGAACCATTAGGTACATCCGTGAAAAAATCAAAACAGGAACTACCTCTGGTTTGTCCACTCATACGACTTCTATAATGTTTTGGATGAAAATTCTAATACGTTTTTTGCCATACTGTTGCTAATTTGTCCAATAAGATTTGTTTAACTCTTATTTTTAGTATATTCTTTTGAAGAATACAATTTAATTATCCTTATATTTCACAACTCCAATATTGCAAAAGATTTATAGACTTGATTAATTGAAAAATTAATAAAAAGTGAACTTGTTCTGGGAATTATTCATTTTCACATCTTATATATTATTTCTCAAATATATATCCCTTTTCCGGCTCTCAGGAGTGATGGATTTTGACGAATGAGGTTTCAATAGATAGGGAATATCATAATTTTGGTTGATTGAGTGTGCGATACGTAATTTTGATTCCTAATTTTATACCTGGACTTAAATAAAATGAATGTAAAAGTGGGAGGTTTCAAACCATATGATGGTGCCGTCTCAACGAATCGAGACGATACAAATGAATTCATAATTTGAGAATAACTTGGAAAGGATGCAATTTTTGGTCCATTATACATATGAGTTTTTGAAAGCTTACTGAAGTCCCTACAAAATGTTTAAAAAATCATCCTTCAATTCAATGTGCTTTGATTGCAATAGAATTTACTATTAGATCTTTATCATTGTAGTTTATCATTTTAAAAATACACTTTCGATTTTTTACCAATGATAAAGAAACATACATCCTGATTGGACTAACTATATAACTCTCAGAGAATTTGAGGCCTTTGTCGTCATCAGTTGTTTAAAGCAATGTTTAGAAGTTTTTGTTAATTTATGATAATCTAATGAAAGAAAAGCTAATATTTAAATTATAAGTTTAAGGAAATGCAATGGTTAAACCATGGCAGAATGTAAATCCTATTCATAAACAGACAACATGTAATAAACCTGTGCGTATCGAACATTATTGAATGGAAGTTGTTTCCTTAATGTATTAAAATCAGATACAACTATTAGGTTTGTACGAAGTATTCACACCGATCAGTGCTTTTGTCGGTACTCCATATCATTGCTTTTGTTTCTTTGAGCTGTAACATTTTTGATAGTCCAGAAATCATTGGTTTAAGGATATATATATATCATTGGTATCAGAGAAAGCAACTGGTCACAATGATCTGAGTTTTTTGTCCGCAGCAGGCTGCCAATTTAGTTGAGTTAATGTCCGTTGGATTATCAAAGTTAAACAGAACACAAATATATCGCAGTGAGTCGTACAAATAGCAGATCGCCACCACAGATCTTATTCTCACATCTTTATTATTTCCGAAATAATAGTTCCTATCGTTTTTAAATACATCCAATGCTCGTTTATCAACGTTGTTTAAGGATTATGCTTACAAAAACGATCTGTAATCTCTTTTTCCAGATCACTGGAGTAGATACCTTTCTGTGTGCATGAGTCTATACCTATATAGTTGTATATTAGTTGGCATCTCAAATTAGCTGTCTGCAGCCCAACAGAAATTTCAGTTTTTGAGTTTTACCTCTATTATTCATGGAGATTTATATTTTAAATATGAGAGAGCAACACTTTCTGAAGACTCGTTAGATTCAAAAATTCAAAATCGGAAGGGTAATTTTGAGGATGTTGCGTATAATGAAATATCATGGGGTCCTGATCGAATTGCTGATAGAATTTCGGGGTAACTAATGCTCAGTTTTGCTGGTAAGACTATTTTTGAAGCCCGTATCTTGTCTTGATTACCAAATTAGCAAATTTACAGTTCATAAACCTTTCTTACGGGTGGAGATAAAGGTTTTACTGTTAATTTAGTTTATAGAAAAGAAGGAATGCTGGTATATGGGTGATTAATTAATTACTATCAGTACATTTTGGGCAGTTGCTATATCTAAACTTAGCGTGCGCTCTAGCGGATGCGAGAGAGTGAAGAGAGCCTGTCTGCAGAGAGGGCCGAAAGGGAACGAGAGCGGTGGAGTCTCCTGAGGCATGCACGGGACGAAGCCGAGAGGAGCCTCAGCCTCGCCGCACAGCTGGACCAGAAGCAGCGAGAGCTCTTAGATGTGAGTATCGAAGCATCCATCCACCTTAGATCAGAGGTTCCCAAACTTACGTTAGTCGTGGCTCACTGTACGGACCATTAAGATTCTTTAATGATCATCCTTTATAGAAGACTACAATATAATGAAGATAATAAAAATATATAATATTAATCCCTTCCTCACCTACCCTGCTACACACCAAAACCGCCTGTCCGGCAATTTATAAGAGTTGCTGATTGTTGTCAATGTATTGATGGGGTGAAATGAATAAAAATTAGTTATAAACTATTGACTAGGCAGTTTAAGGGCTGGTTGCAGCGACCCTTGTTTATTTTTATTTTACTAACTTCTATTTACGAAACATTTGTTGCACCAACCTTGGTTAGACTTAACAATCTGTCAAGTAATTAAGATTAGTCTACCAATTTTGAAACTTTGATTAATAAACCCTACCTATGGATTCAATCATCATTTAGGCCAATTTTCATTTGTGTTCAATTGTACGTAAACAATTTTTTTATAGTTGACTTCATTCGATTATTTCTAGAAATATTGTTATTGGTTTAGCTGCAATGAATCGAGAAAAAATAGATATGATTTCATTTGAAAAAAAAATTGTCATCACATAATTAGTTATTACAACTCATCAATCTAGTTCTTAAAACGGACTAATAACGAATAAGAGATTATCTGTTCAATGTTTACGATGATTCTAAATTTAAATAGATTTACAAATGAATCAGTTCTTATTGATAATTTACATATATATATATATATATATATATGTCACAAATAAGGTGACATCACATGTTAACCTTACTTAATTAACCCAGGCTAAAAAGTAACCTGAGCAACAGGATCAAAACTTTAGTTATGGTTAAATTTAAATTAATTTCAGTATTTTAATAATTGATTTTAGAATTTTAATTAGTTATCAGAGATTGTTAACTTTAATCGAGACTGTTGGTGCAACTGGTCATGTGTACTTTGTAAACACTTGTTGAATACAAAATGCTTTTTCCACTTTAGTGGTGATAGTCCAACTAAAATAAAATCCGAAAAATTGAAAATATTCCTCTTAGTTGGAAATCGTTTGATGTTTTTAAGTGCTTTTGTTCTTGATGCTTTTCTTTTCAAATTTAATTTTTATCTCTCCAAACTCAAGAATCATTTCCTTCACACCAGAGTCCTGCAGAGTGCTCATCTAGGGAATGTTAAATACTGTAGACTAAACCATATATCTTACAATAATCCTGCTCTGTATTCTTGAAACTTTGTCGCTTCCTGGCTTTGTTTGCTACTACACTATGTTGGTACATTGTTCCTCACCATTGCAAGCTGCTTGTACAATTATGCTAGGATTGCCTTTCATATTAAGGATGGTTTAGCGTGTGTAGAAAACTCTTGAAATGGTAACTATATTATTTATTCTGTTATTTTCTTGTCAAAATTCACCAGTAAAAAGTCTATTTTATTACGTTTCATTTGCAGTAGCTCATTACACATATTAACATCAAATACTCATTCTCGATAAATCTTTTGCTGAGGAACATACATGAACTTTGCCATACTTCTAAGTAAATTGCAGTTTCACTCGTCAGTAATTATTACATTAACAGATCAAGGTGGCATTTAGGGTACATTGAATAATTACAGCTTTTTTAAGTAGTAGTTCTAAGTACATCTATATTTTTTATAGATTTTAAATATTTCTTTTCATTTATTTATTTTCTTAATGCCCATACTTCGGCTTTTAACCCATTCGTGTTCTTGCAGTCCAATAAAGTTCACCCATTTTATTTAAAGGGTTATCAAATTCGATGAATGTGTTTCTAATGTTCTGGAGAGAAGGAAATCCTATTTAAGGTTTAGATTTATTGGAAAAGAACCGGTTACCAATGACTTCTTTTTTGTTTCATCTTCAGTTTGATCTTCCTGTTATAACCACTCGAAATAATATACATATTTTTTTTTTATATAAATAGCAATAGAACAAGATTTCATTTCATTGTTTGAGCTTGTGATTATCTTAAGCCTATAAAGAAAGAAAAAATCTTGGTTATCGAGGGTCAGTTCTGATAAATCATAGTCAAAAATAGCTTTATTACAAATTTAAAAAAACTGTTTTTTTTCTACTCTAGGTTGGTAGTTATTTTTTAAATTGGGGATTTTCGGGATAGTAGTATTCAGAAATTCATAATATGACAATACTGTGTAGAACCATAAAAATGTTTGAATTTAAATTATATATATCATTAGTGTTTTCAGTTTTGGTGTGTTGTGGACCAGGAGTTGGATTTTTGTTTTGAGATACAGAGAATTTTCCAGTTATTCGTTTCAATGTTTGAATGAATAGAGATGTGAAGTGATTGTTTATTCCAAATTTCTACAAATTAGGGCAAGTTTCTAAACTCTATGTTGAAATCATCAATGACATCGTTTTGCTTAGTTTAGATACACATATGATGTCATTGATGAATTAAACATTGAGTTTAAGAACTATCCCAAATATTTATTGTAAGACAGTTTTTCTCGACTTATCAGTTATTTTTGACCCACAATAAATAAGCTATCAACTATTTTTTTTGGGAACCTCTGTCCCAGAGTTATTAATTATTAATATTGCATGACAGAACCGTATTTATTCAAGTGATGACATCCATTTCTTGGTAGAAACTTTTGCCCGTTCAAATTTCTACTTACTATTCTTTTTCTTTTATCCAGAGCTCTACTCGAAGTATGTTTTTTTCTAAAATTACTCTTTACCTGAATTTTTTTTTCTAATAATTAATACTTCATAGGGTTTTTCCTTTAAAGTATTCATTATAATATGGGATAAAATTTGTTTAAATTACACCTTATCTATAAGTAATAATAATAATCTAAAATCGCTTGCCTTAATTTTTTACTAGTTCTCCTTATGGCATTTCTCTTTCCTCCAAATAACATATTTTCATTGGATACAATGAAATTTTTTACTTATATTTGTGCTTTTTTTGTTTGTTGTTTTGTACAGTATTGTTTGTTTCATTGGTGTGTGGTGTGATAGAAAGGAATAGCTTGTTATAATTATGTATATATCTTTTTAATCAAATTTCAACGTGATCCAAAGATCATAGTTTCTTTGCCAATACCAATATGCACCGTGTGTCACTTATTCACAAAATTGTATTTTTTTATTTAATTTAAATTTATTTTTTTTAAAACCCATTCATATAATACGTGTCATCTATTGAAGAATCTTTTGAATCTTAAATATCTCACCTATCAAAGTACGAGATTTATGAAACCTTGTGTCTGATCTGTGTTTTGTGACCACAATAGTGTGCCACACTGTGCCCACCCGTCAATGACGGAGGGAGATCTCCTGAAAATGGTTTACCGAGGCGAGAACTTCAATCCAGAGATCATTATAATGTGAGTAACCCACCCTTAACTTATAATAAATTTATTCAGTGTTGTCTTTTTTAGTTGGTTGTCATGTTTGTTTGTTTTATTTATTTTACTTTTGTTTTATTGTATTTGCTTGCCTAAATGTGTGTGTATTTTATTATTATTTATTTATTTAATTTTTTTTTTCTTTATTGTGTAATCTCCTTCTGGATTAATCATTTCATGAGATCTCCTTTTGCCATGAGTTACAAGAAAATTTTTCTTAAAGAAAAGTCAAATCTAATACTATCATTTATATTGCTCATGTTTTTCACTAGGCTTATAAAAACGCTAAGAATTTATCATGCACAATACATTTTATTATAAGCATACATTGTTTACTTCTATTTTAATGCATTACATGACTTTTATAGTATTTTAAGTTAACGCTGTAACTTCAACACTTTCAATGTAAAAACAAATCAGTTATAGAATTAAAAGTATTATAACTTTCACATTTTGATTTCATATTAATGAATATGTTTGCGTAAATCATGTGCCTTTTTAGGGGTGGTAGGAAATGATTCCACAAGAAGAGAGGGGTATGTATATGATCCTAATATAAAAAGGGGGTTAGGAAGTTTGAGTAATTCTGCCACAATTAAAATTTCTATTTCATTTTTTATAATTTTTGATAATAATTATCTGACTTATGGATTAAACATATTTTTCAAATGCTATTTTTTTGTTGATTTTTTTTTGTAAAATTAATTAATGAAAGTTAGTTGTTCTCTAAAATATTATACTTTTTGACAGGCAAGACGCCAACTTAGCTCTGGAGGCTGCCTCTCCGACCAAGAGAGTATTGGTGCAGGATGGAGAGGTGTTAACGGCGGACCAGGAGACAGAACATCCGGAAGTGTTGATTCTGGACTGCGGGGATCTTCGGACAGGCAGTCCACAACAAATCTTTCCGATTCTACTACAGATGGTCAGTTTTTCGGAATATTTTTACACTGTAGTTAATTCACAATCATAAATTATCACCATTTTTTTTCCTCTAACCAACTTTTCAAAGCATTTTTCATATGCTTTAAACATTAGAAAATATATCTAATCTTATTTATTCGAATTTAAAAGTTTTTGTGATAAGAATTGTTTTAAATTTTCTGTATGAAGACCCTTTGTACTCTATAAACCTTATGGAAGCATAGCCATAAATTAATTTTTTTATTTTATTTTTGTTAACTACCTCATGGGGATGCCTACCAGTGCACTGGTAGATATCTGCATGTGGTAGTTACCATGACTATAGTTTTTAATTTAAAACTTCTGTTGGTGCGTTTTGCACTTTTTTGTGAAGAGTGAATTAGATTGAGCCGTCAGATCTCCGATATGTAACGCTCGGGTAATGTCGGCTGGAGTTGACTAATTTAAGTGTTTTTGCACATGGATTAAGATATCTTAAAAACTAAAAAATCAGACCTGCATATTGTTAGCAAGGGAAATGTTCAGTATTTGATTCTCTTTATAATGAGCTATTATTTATAATTTATTTTTCATATTCTTAATCTCACCTATTTGTTTTCACTTCTATCGTGTGGTCTAAAACACACACCTTAGTTTTTAATTTTTGTCCTCCCCTTCCTCGCCTTTTAGGCTATATGGGGTTTCCCCAGGCCAGGGGTTAGTGAGGGCAGGGGATCAATGCCAGGAATAAAAGATCTTCCCTCCCAGACATCTTGTAATTATTTTATCAAATTCTTTCATTTGGGTTGCTGGACAATGCGGTGCTGTGCACAGATGTTAGCCCGCTCGGCCACCCCACTCCTAACATGACAATAGCTGTACCACCAACAGCCAGATAGTGTACCTGTACTACCAAGACAACAAATATACTGTCATACAGTTGTCCCTAAAATATTACATTATTGGAAATGTGTATCTTCACACAGATCTAGTGAACGAAGCCTTTAGGTTACAATTTTCATTTATCTTCTTTATATCCTGGATAAATAAATGTTTTAATTTTTCTATTTAAAAATAAAATTAACTGTTTATTGCCAAACTTTTACTATATATAATAAATGATATTAGGTTGTTCTAGCTCATAAAATAATTTAGAAATATGATTCTAAACAAAAATTATGATTAAAAATGAGATAAATTTTATTTAATAGAGGTTTTTCAGTGCACCATGTTGCACCTCCATCCTGATTTAGAGATTTATTAGCTTCATACATTTGAAGAACAAGCAATATTAGAGAATGGTTATCTATATGAACAATTTATGAGACTTGGGTGTCTATTACTAGTTCTATTGCTTAAATGCTGTTACAGCAATGGAAACTCAAGATTAGGGGTTAATAGGTTATTTTATATAATTAAAACAATGAAAATAAATTCTGCACCGTTTGGAAAAGTACCGCCTAATAAATTAAAGTTATTCCAAAGTATGCATACAATTTCAAACTTACCTCCTAAACAAAATTGATTAGGAAACCTCAATGTGACCACAATAACTATTGTTTTATCAAACATTAACTGACAAATGGCCATTAGCGTATGAAATCAGATATCACCTTTCTGAGTGTGTCAGCTGAAAACCTATCTGTACTTAAAATCTGTGAAATGCGTAAAAATATCATAATTATTAGTATCATAAAGTTCTTTTATATAAAATAAGTTCTTAGATTGGTAATCATAGATTCATTGATCTAATTTAAGACTAAAACTAGAGTGCAAAGGGTTTAATTTATTTTATATTTATTAAAAAGGTAATGAATATTATTCAAGTGAGTGAAAACTGCTTTGTTACACAGCATCAACTGAAATATAATTGATATCATACGCCAACACTCTTTGCTTATATGACCCAAAATAGCACAGGCATTTTAGTGTTGAGCTGTTTGTTTAAACGGAACATACTGATTATGTTAGAATTCATGCTTGGTCGTTTTGTTTTTTATCAAGAAGTTTAGTGTTTTCTTTGAATGGTGTAATTTTAATATTTTGTTTTAATTGTGTAGATCTATCAACCTTCTCACTATATGACTCACCTACTTTCATTGATTACCTATTTTTATTTTTTGTTATTTTTCAATTGTCTAAAACATCTATAAAGACACTAGCATGGCTAGAATAAAAAATATCTATAGAGATTTTTGAATTCGCTCATTGAATATATCATTTAAAAAAAAAAAGTAAATAGTTTGTAACTCTCGAATATTAGAGAAATGCATAAAATAACTGGTTTAAATGAAAATGAATCCAATAGAGAGTTTAGGGGCTAGAATTGGTTAAATACAATTGTAGTTGTAACATAATAATAATAATATTTTATTTATTCTGGAGCGAATCCGTTTAAAATAATTAACAAGGACAGAAATGTGGGCTTTTGAGCCTCAGATATATATAAATATATTTACAAAGTTAACTAATAGATGTAACAGAGAGGAAAAAAAAAAAAGTTATCTTCTAGATTAAATGTTAGATTAAAATAACAGTGAGATGAAAATAATTGGAAATAAACTAATAATATATATACATATTTACAAAAGTTTCTATTTACAATTTTAGAGGGACTGGATGGAAAAAAAAGTGATTGAATAGGTGGGATTTAAAAGTAGGGAGAGTATTGGAGCGACGGATGTCAGGGAGGAGGATGTAGTCCTATGAGGATGAGGATCGAATAATAAAAGATTTATGGAAAGCAGTGTTATATATAAATCAGGCCATGATATATAAATCTGAAGACCGGGAACGGGTATTGCTGGAGTGGACAGAGGATTTAAATTGAAGAAGCTTGGAGATGTCTGAAGGACGGTAGAAGTGAATGACTTGGAAGAAGAAGGATTTCAGGAAATACTTATGACGGTAGGAAGGATGAAGCCATTTCAACTCTTCATAGAAACAGGAAACAGGGGTGTCCCTTGGGATTCCGAAGATGAATCGTACAAAGCAATTTATCAAACGTTTTAGTTTCGCCTCATGGTCCTCAAAGACGCCTCCATATACCATGCAGCAATAGTCAAAGTGGGGAAATATTAAGGAGATGACCAGGAGTCTACGGATTTCAAAATGAAAAAGGTATCGAAGGCTATTTAAGTGTTTTATAGTGGAAAAGGTACGTCGGGAGAGATTGGATACATGGTTTTCCCGGAAAGGGTTTGATCAAAGATTATTCCAAGGTTTTTGATGGTGGGATAAAATTTGTTGGGATTATTAATTAATTAATCCTTCAAAAATTAATTAACGTTAAACCATGGATAAATGACACAAGGGCTAAATGAAGAAGGTTTTGTTTACAAATTAGGATTTAAATATTAATCTGAATAAAAATTATTTTTAATTTCTGAAGGTTTTTAAATTATAAATTTATTTTAGTGAACTCATTGTATTAGTAGGAATGAGCTGTTATTCTGTTCTGAGTTATATTTCAGACAACAAATGCCTAGTATACTTCATTTCCTTTTGCAATATTACTGCCCAAACAATAATTAATTTGTCATTAGTCTTTTTATTATTTTAACTGTTTTCGATCAAATAAAAAATAAATTCTATATAGTAAATAAATTACCAATAAATGTTCATATGGTATAATTATAAATTTTATTTTTTAATTTATTAAATATTTATGACTGTTTATAAGACCAAAATATTATTACTTCAATTACTATAAAAACACTCAGCAATTGTATTTTATTTAAAACTTTTTGTGAACCTTTTGTGTTCTTTTTTTTAAAAATATTTTTGATGTCATTAATGATATTCATTTATTTTTGGCGTTACGATCCTGAAAGAATCAGAACCTTTCTTATAATCCTCCTCCACTCTCCTCTATCTCCAGGCAAGTATTTGCCATCTTCAGATTGCCACCTTTTTTAGAATGTCCTCCATCTTGTCCAACCATCTCAGGCGTGTTCTTCCTCTGCCACATCTTCCACTGGGACGATCCTCAAGCACGGGTATTTGGGGATGGAATCTCTGGGCATATGGGATACTTAGCTCTACCATCAGCTTTGATTACTTCTCACAATTGAGACCAAATCCGTCCTTACACAAATCTCGTGCAGCTCTGCATTGGTGCGAATTCTCCACTGCCTATCGTCACACATCGGACCGTAGATTCTGTGGACATCCCTTCTCTCTCATAGCTTCTACTAGCTTCCTTTCTGTGGCTTTAGAAATCACCTAAGTCTCAGAACCATAGATGAGGAAGGGATCTATAATTCAGTCATTTTGGCATGCATTAACAATATAATTAAGTGCATTAACAATATAATGGTCTAAATAAAACTGGCCATAGTGAAGGTGTTATCACTGTATCTGAAGTGTATTTTTATCTTCTAGCCCGCTATGTGGCCTTCTTTTGGACTACAAGGTTAATTTGTTTATTTTTAATAGAAAACTAAACACAAATTAGCTTCAACACATAAATGTATAGGTCCTGAATGATGAACTAGTTGAAAAAACTATTCAGAAAAAACTTCAGCAGAGAGGATAATGGCTGAACCAGTTGGGGCAAGGATTCGAAAGTGCCCATTTCATAACGGTGTGGCTTTCATTACCACTCAGGTTATTTAATATTTATTTGTCATCAGTCCTGTGAAATAAATCTTTACACTCCCATACTGGTTAATACTGGGCAGCAAACTCTTCTAGGTACCTTCCAGCGGTTGAAAAATGACCAAAAAGTCCTCCTACTGAACTAGTTTTTCCCACGATTGAAAATGATGTACAATTTTCATGTTTCTTGCACTATTTCATCATACAGTATATAATTTTAATAAAGTAAAAAAATAACATTTTTAATTTTTATATTTTTGTTAAAAATACGTGCATACTGGGTCAACCCAATTACCTAGGCGAATAAAAAAAAATAAAATAAACATCCTGTACCACCAGAACCCATGGAGAGTTAGGTTTAGGTTTAGTGCTTTGCATGGAAGTACTGTTTATTGGTTCATTTGTTGAGCAAGGACATGATTT